AAAAAATAATTTTAACAAAAGCTTGGTAAATTTTTCTCAACTTTCTGACGGTGCTAAAAAAAGTTATTATGGCCCATGAAATATTATGTTTTTCAATCAAGTCATTGTGCAACATGAACATCAGCATAAAAAGGCGAATTTACAGAATTGTAGATACCTTCTTATTGGTGTAAGAATTGATCAAATACAATTATTGTACATAAAAATACCTAATATAAATATTTTAAAGGTAAATATTTGTCTCAAACACATCAGGGATCTCGCGCCCCCCTTAACAATGCCTTGCGCCCCCTTCTTTGAAAAACACTGTTAAGATATTTAAATGAAATGTTATATGTAGGCATCTCAAATAAAAGTAAAACTAATGTTGATTCAAAAATTTGTTTTACACGCTATGCTGATCTGATGGGAGGGAACTAACCCCTTAAGGTGTATTGTAAAAATGATGTAAGTACGAAGATCTCAAGGATCATTTGGTATTCGGTTGTATCAGATTTTTATTATAGTATTCACGAACCTCTTAGGAACAGTCATTGCTTTCTGGAGAAGACAATTTTCAGTGTGTTCATTGGAATGTAGAAAATCCCCCCCCCCCCACACACTCTTTAGACCAACACCATATTCTTCTATATACAACAAAACAATTTACATCGTAATCAAAGCAGACTTTTTTCCAGCCCACTGGGCTCCGGTAACCAATTAATTGCTCCCCTCCCAAACTCTGTAATTCAGAAACCTTAGAGTGGATACACAGCATATCGCGTCATGTGAGAGAAGTCTAAGAGCTACTATACGCGACAAGGACTCAAAAGAAACCGGAAACGATCCCTGGTGGGTGGACCTGTTGTATTTTACGTTTCCGCCGCTAGACGTCTCTTGCGAGTTACCAAGCCCCTAAAAAGCGTCCCGAGTGGAGTTGAATGTCAAGGTGATTCCCACATCTTTTTTTAATGGACATAAAAGTCGTTCCCAAAGACCAAACTGTAAACACGACGTTTTACCTAAACTTTTGAGACGTTTCCGTGACGCGCCGCATTCACTGGATCTCGCCCCAACAACTTGTTTTTATTCCTCCGAATAAAACAAGTATTTAAATGAAAACATTTTGAGAATGTGAAAGCGATTCAAACCGAAA